GCAGAGAGCCAATTTTGCAATTGTATGGGAACATACACTGATGACAATACATAACACATCATCATTATTATTATAAAATGTCCCCCGGGCGCTTTCAATAGCTGCCCACTGCACCACCTGGTGGTGGATGGGTTAAATGCAGAGACTAATTTCGCCATTGTATGGAAACATACAGTGCTGACATTGTGATGACATTATTATTATTATTATTATTATTATTATTATTATTACAAGGGAGAAAAAGTTTCAGGGAGCCCCTCATAACCCTCATGTTTATTAAATAATTTTCTTCAGTTTGTCTCTTTAATGTAATGGAAATATTTGTGTAACATAAATACTCAAGACCTGTTCTTTAATAGTGTTAATACAATTTTTATACTTTTAAACATTAGGTCATTTTCATTCAAGACATACACAATTCACAAAAATTTTAATTTCTACTTCTCAAAATTACAGTTTTGAGAAAATTAACTGAATCATAAACCACTTTAAAACTTTACCTATTCACATAATGAACATTATGAAAAAGTTTATTCCATTTATCCTTCACTTTAGTTCTGTTCCTTTATGTTTTTCTTATGCCGGAATGTATTTATTTATTTATCTTTATTTATTTATCTTTATTTAACCAGGCAAATCCCACTGAGATCACAGATCTCTTTTGCAAGGGCAGCCTGAAGGCCACCATGCACAGTTTGGAGTGTGGGAGGAAACTGGACGGAGTACCCGGAGAAAACTCATGCAAACACAATGAGAACATGCACAATTCCACACAGAATAACCCCAGGTCCAAACCGGGGATTGAACCCGGGGCCTTCTTGCTGTGAGACAACAGTGTTAACCACTAAGCCGCTTTGCTGCCTGATCATCTTACCCAGTCATTTTGTGCTATTTACTGATCCACCCCCTCATATTTGTTCCTTTTTTGCATTTGCACCACATCTTTATGTATTTATTTTATTTTAGCACCAGTCCATCTATACTCTGATCATTCTTTCACTCAGGAGTCTGACATTGTCTGCTTCTTTCCCTGTCAGGTCTGCCTTTGTGTCTCCGAGAGTTCCTATTTGTTATTTTTGCTCTTCTTTACCACCATGCCAGCCTTTGTTCGGAAAATATTAAATATTTAAATTTTTATTGGACCTATTTGTTGAATCTGTAGTCTTGGGACCAATCCTGAACTCAAATGAAATTGTGAGTGTATTTTTCTACGTCTTCAACAAAGATTCTCCAAATTCTAAAGAGGCAGCCAGTCAAAATGAATATTTGATTGGCAAAATCTTGCCAGGATTTAAAATCCCAAATAAAACCAAGATGGAGTCTGTGTAACCTTCAGCACTTACCAAGAAAAAAAATTATTTCACTCAGCATCTGAAAGTTTACATTTTATCTAAAGCCTGAACATCTTGATGGACCCCACCCACTCTGCTCATAAACAGTTTGACCCCCCTCTGCTCAGGTAGAAGGCTGCAGAGCATTAAGGCCACAACAACGAGGTTCAAACTCAAACACAGCTTTGACCTGAGTGTGTCAGACTGGTCGATTCAGCCTGGAGCTTCAGAAACAATCCATCGCCCCCAGAAGCTGTTGTTGTTTATTTGTAACATTTTAATTATCTGTTATCTGCATGTGTTATGTATGTGTTTTGTTTTTTCTGTGTGGAGTGGGGGGTGGGGGTTAAGTACACCACGTGTCCTGGTGATATTTTGTTTTATGTTGTGCATAAATCGACAAATAATTTGAAGTGATATCACCAGGACACGTGGTGTACTTAACCCCCACCCCCCACTCCAC